GAATTAGACAAAAGAAGATTTAGGAAACACTTAGAAACAAAATATAAATGCATATGCCATCGCCTTTAACAAATATCAATGATTTATTTAAAAATCTTGTATTGTGAAATAAGAATGCGGATTAGTAGTATATAAATCAATCATAATAGTAAGAAATTATTTATTTTGCTTAAAAAATAAACAAGTATTTTAGATTATACAATATACTAATATGTAATATATCAAACTAAAAATCTAAACAAGAAATAATGCATACAATAAACGAATCCTACATTACAATACCTATTACTAATATTTATATTATTAATTTTTGCACAATTTGTCTAAAAAAAATGGCCCCTAAGTTAATAAGCATGTCGGGTAGTGTAGGGTAATAAGCATGCCCCTAAGTTAATAAGCATACCGGGTAATGCAGGGTAATACGCATGCCCCTAAGTTAATTACCCGGCATGCTTATATTATCTAGCTTTCAAATGATTGTATAAAAAAATCTCTGTTTCAATATCTAGCATCTAGGGTCCTTACTGTCATACTTCCCGGCATAAATATCCATGTTTTAAATGGCGAGCCACATGTCGCCTCATGAATGAATGTCTCCACTCAAACAAAATAAATTCATATATCACAAGAACCACCCCGCTACCGACCCAATACCCCTAATTAATTAGACCCAAATATAAAATATTTCCCTGTTTCCACCTAAACACCCCGTCTGAACCCCTCTTCTCTCACCCTCTTCTCTCTAGGGTTCCTTCAACATGTCCTCTTCTTAATTCTTTCACTTCGATTCATTGAATCCCAGGGTTATTTTCACCTAATTTCTTCTAAGTTTCATATTTATCTAACCATTAGGAATTGTATAATGTCAAAAAAAATTGTGCATCGAAGAGGACATGTTATTGCAGTGAAATTGCCAACTTCTTCACTTCCAAAAATATTGATAATCCTGGAAGGAGATTTTACAAGTGTCTGAAACCTAAAGTAAGTTTTATTTTTTGAATATTCTTAAATTTGTTGTTTTCTAATTTTCAGCTTTTACTCTTTATATTTCAGTTGGGGATCTTAGGGTTACCCTTTATTGGTTTTGGTTTTACAACAAGATTCTCGTGGTTACTTGTAGTGGCACGGTGATGTGCTATCAGATAGAGCATCGGTGGTAATTAGTAATTTAAAGACTAAATTGGAGGCAGCAATATTTAAAATTCAGACTTTGAATACTTCATTGGATGCGGATAAGATATAAAGAGATAATTGAAAGCAAAAAAATTGATACTTTGGAAGGTATGTGCAACTATCAAGTCAACAAATCAAGGGAATTAAAAGAGAAGAGAAAGTAGTGAAGATGAAGATGTTGATTATGATGTCATGTGCTCTGTTAGTTAGATTTGTTGTATCACAATTGATAAAGTGATGTATTATATTAGTGTTGTAATTTTTTTATGTTATATTGTAATTGACTTGGTAAAACGGGTGTAGTCAATTTTCCCATTAATATGATGTATTCTGTTGTTCATCCTAAACCCTATGTGAATGATGCTCATGTTTTTTTAGTCTTATTTTGCAACACTTTCCATCAGACTCGCAGCATCAATGACATCTCTAATGTCTTCCATAGCAGTGATAAAAAATACAGGATTGATCCCTGCCAATTGATCCCTAATGTCTTCCATAACAGACATTAATTTGTCATATTAATATGGAGACATCCCTGCATTTTTAACGGCCCTCTACAACACACAAACACATTACCAAATCAGCACACACACAACACAAAACCAATACAAAATAACTGGAGAAATTTACACGCGCTTGCAACTATTGAATCATCACACACAAATACAAAAAGATACATAGAAGCAGCTAATCAACACACACAAACACAAAAGATACACAAAAGTAACTAGATATTCATACAACTTCAATCTGAATACCAGTTACAATTAAAATAGATAATTGGATGCCACACTATAACATCACGAAAAACTTACACAACCTGAATCATAATGTGACATCCAAATCTTTTAGCGTACTGTCAATAAGCAGTAATTATATCTGTATATTACCAAATCACCAAAATACGAGTACTGTCATAAGCAGTAATTACATCATTAAAAACTAATACTTTACATCCAAATACTACCGATATTGTCAATTCCTTGGCTTCAACTTGCTTCTCTTTTTTTTACATTCCATTTCCAACTGATTTATAGTCATTACAGCCTTTTCTTTTCCAAGTTAAGTTGTTTGATGAGTAACGAAATTTTGTTTCCTCTGAAGCTGATTTCCCTTGTAGAAGTTGGTATTGTTTGTTGCTGCCTTTTTTGAAGTCTAGTGAGGGTTTCTGAGATAACCTTAGGCCTTAGAATATGGTCTTCTTCCTGTTCAAAATATGAAATTGGTGTAGACATAAATACACCATTGCTGGTTTGACTATTTTGTGTCTTTTGAGGGGCTGACAAATTAATGTCTTATTCGGTTGGATTCCCTACATCTTCATCAATTAAACCTCTTCTAACATGCTTCGCTTTTGCCTTGGGGACCATTTTTTCTTGCCTTGGCTGCCACATAAAAGAATCAGTTAGATGAAGAAATGGTAATGTATAACTAACAAAGTTTAGTATAATAAGTAGTTACTTTGTCACAACTCCTAATGTTATGATTTGGCCGTCCACAATTGCCATATGTCATCACTCTACCCTTCATTATGACATGCTTCACCTTAGGCCTGCCAGCAAGTTTGACCATTTATGGTTCCGTTGCTTCAGAAGGGTCTATTTTTCACAATGTTTCTCCCTTCACACGTTACAACTTATACTTGTATCTTAGCAGAAATGCCTCCTTGCTATGATACCAACGCTTTTCATTTAAAGGATCAATTTTCTTGTATTGCAATGCCTTAATTGTATGTGGGCATAGGATCCCAGTAAGGTCCCGTGACTTACAAGTGCACCTCTTCATCACTAGATTGACAATATGCTTGTCAATTGCCTCTGATATCTCATGTCCTTAGTCTCCATTGATCTGAACCTTATAACTGATGTGTACTATCTTCAAGTACTCATTATACAACTTCATTGATTAAGGATTGAATTCACCAGTCCATTTCACAACTGATTCCTTATGTTCTCTCAACATATTCATTACTTTGACCCTAATAGTCTCCAACATCCCAATGATGAGCTTGAACTTTGCTTCTAGTATCCAAGAATTGAAAGATTCAATTAGATTATTGTCAACAACATGATTCTTGCATACTGTACCAATGTAGGCTCTGCACCACATATAGGGTGGACAATTCAACAGATCCTTGGCAGCAACTACATCTAAATCCCCCAAGTTCTTCAGTTGGTCGTTGAACTCCTCTTCATATGTTGACCATGCATACCACTACAACAACTTCTTCAATTCACCTTTAATCTAACTTCTGCACCAATTTGACTCAATGTGCCTTACACAGAACGTATGAACTCTTTAAAGTCATTCAAACCTTCAGAAAATTCTTTCTTCTGTTGTGCAGTAGTCGACTCTAATTCTTTAGAGCCATACTCTTCAGAATCATGCACATATTCAGATTCACTCTCACTCTCACTACAATTTATTCCAGCTTCATTAATTATAGATAAAAAAGATTCAATATTTTAGAAAATATTTGGAACATCTACAACTGCATCACATTCATCCACAACAAATATATCAATTGTACAGTATTCACCATACAAGAGACATTGACTTTCTAATACCATCATCCCCTACTATTTCATAATAAGTTTCGGAAAGACCAGTTACTATCAATTGTTGAACACCCATAAAACATAACTCATAAATAAACTCATCAACTAAGTCTTTAAAGGACAGTAAATCAGGATCATACCCTTTCCAAAAATGAACTAGTTTCTTGCTACAAAGGAGATGTGGTTCCTTGATCCACTCACCATCATGATTGAACCTCAAGTCAACATTAACTATTTTAATAACCTAAAAATAATTAAGTAAACAATATTAATAATCTGGATAATATTAAAAAAGAAGAAAGCAAGTTAGGAAATAGGTAACTGAAAATAGGGACCACAAAATATACAAAATCAACAAGGGACCCCTCGAGATACATACATCATCAATTGAGAATAAACAAACCAACAAGGGACTCCCTCTGTAAAGATACATACAACTACTTCAAAATCAATAAACAAACATGAGACCACAACTATGATTAAAAAATCTGAAAAGGAAACATATTTTTCACCCACACAACTAACATAAATCAACTTCTTGCTCACAAACAACATGCACAAGGGAACAAAGAGCCCATCTTCCCACTTATCAAATAGTTGTTTAACATAAAGTGCCCAAAAAATAGTAACAAAAGCCGAAATGCATTAAACCAATTTTCGGGACCATATGTTAAAAGCACATGCATACAAAATAAATACCGAAGTGACATAATAAACAACAAAATATATCAGGAATACACAAATCCAAACACAGAAAATGGGCATGCCTGACAGAATATCGAAAAACCCCAGCGACAATTGACAGTTGTTTAAAAAGGATACCACTAACTCAAAAAATAATTAAATAAATGACAGATGTAAGAAAAAATGACATAACCATCAGAAGATTTTATCTGGAAAGCCTCGTGCGTTACTAACACGATTACATTGTGGTGAGAGAGAAGAGAGTGAGAGAACAGGGGTTTAGACGGGGTGTTAGGTGGAACTGAGAAGTATTTTGTGTTTGGGCCTAATTAATTAGGGGTTTTAGGTCGGGTATTAGGGCATTTCTTATGATATATGGGTTTATTTTATTTGAGATGGGATATTCATTCAGGAGGCGACACGTGGCTCGCCGTTTAAAATAGGGATATTTATGTATGAAAGTATGACGGTAAGGACCCATAGGCCAAACAGTGAAACGGATGGTTTTTTTATACAATATTTTTAAGTGTCCCTTTTCCGTTTGTTTTTTAAACCAGGGTAAAAATGGAGCCGGCGTCAGTAACGTTGTACTGAAGCGTTAAAAAGAGAAAAAAAGAAACGAAGCGCACCGTCTTAGGATCCGTGACTCGTCTCATAAGCCGGTGACCCAATCGACTATTAACTGTAAAGCGGGGCCATTTTAGTTTGCTGCTAATTGCTCTCTGCTTTTGAAGGGAGGAAACTCTTGTCAAATCCAATGGCCGCCATATTAGCTCGGAAATCTCTCTATGCTCTTCGCTCTCGTCAGCTTGTAAGTCTCCTTTTATTTGCTCATTTAATTTATACTCGTCTGCGATTTATGTGTCATCAATTTTTGTAAGAATGCTCCTACGAACCCTAATCTTGCATTTGACATCAATTTCAACCTTCGTGATAGTCAATTTCATCAGTTATAGTCTGATTTACCCTTACGTTATCCTCAAGAGACGGTAATGAAAACGAAATCGTATTTAATAATCAGTGTATGCTTTGATTATTTGATATGTCGCCGTGTTTTTTGATTATGGTGTTGGCTTAAATACTTTTGGAATGAGGAAGTTAGATAGAAAATAGGTGGGAATGGATGTTTGTAGAAGCAACGGAGATGGTGAGTGATGGATTACCATTCAGGTTTCCCCTAGTTAACATTTTTTCTCCTGATAACGTAGAAATCCCCGAGAGCCAGTGGGGCAGGATGCAAAACTCGATGGATAATGGGTCTGTCCCTCTCTATCCTTCTCCACTTAAATACCAACCTTTTGTCTGCCGCAGCAGGGTTCAAACCCATTACGTGCACCTCATCGTCACATCATGTATTGTGCTCTTACTACTGGATCAAAGCCCTGGGTCCTTTAGTTAACACTGCGGCTGTCAGTTCTTTTGTTCTCTTATACATGTCTTTGGTTTATGACAAATGACGGATAGCCTGGTGGTAAGGACCTCTACCTTCAATTTTAAGGTTGAGGATTGACTTACATGAGAATCAAAGTGGCAAAGGTCCACTGTTGGGCTGTTGGTGGGGGTGCGGGAAATAAAAACATTTCCTTCATTCTTTTAATTTTTTTTAAGGATATTATGTACAAATGCATGCTGTTTGTTGAGAAATTTGCCGGGAAGTGAGAGAGGCAGCAGTTACTGGACTACTTTTTAGGTTCTTGGTCAGTATGCTTTCTTGTATGTGTGCATACACATGGTTACTTGCTCACACTAAATGTGCATGTATTTGTGCATTTCTATGTTTTATAGTGTAAGAGAATGGTTTGACACCTTACTCTTTCTATGGGGACTATAGGTTTTGGCAGGACAAGCATGGCAAGGGACTAATGCATGTAATGGAACTCTGCTTGGTACTAGAACATTTGCTACCAAGCATTCGTTTTCAACTGACAAAGGTTTGTACTCTGCTCTCCTAATCCATCCTAGATCTATCATCCCCTTTCTCTATGTGTCTGTTAGCATATGAGGCGTGTTTGAAAATGACTTAGCTTTAGAGAAAGGTTGTAGTTCACTACTAATGAGCTTTAGTGGGGATATGAATTTTAAGCACTGTGGTATGCGATACTTCTTTCTTTCCTATTGGGTTGTCCACTTAGATGAGCTCAATTGCCAAGGGAGGAGTTGAAAATGAGTTGTGTAGAATTTGTTGGGAACATGGGACATATTTGGATTTTAGAGTTAAACAAGACTAGATTAGACCGATAGGACCCTGTGTGATATTTAAAATGATTATTACCTTCCTAGGCAAATTTTGAAAGGAAGGTTGAGCATTTTGCCATGGAGGGAAGTATATTAAATCTGTCTACACATGATAGCGATGTTGTGCATAGTGTTAATGTACGCTGTCACACCTCCTTTTTCCCGAGGGGATAGGGAGTTTTTCCAATTTAAGTGACATTAATCGAAATGAGATTATTTATTTATTTCAGAGTCGCCACTTGGAATAATTTACGGTGTCCCAAGTCACCGGTTTATTTTAAATCCCAAATCGAGGAAATTGACTCTTATTTATGGTCTGCGAACACAAAAGACCGGGTAAGGAATTCTATTAACCCGGAAGAAGGTGTAAGGCACTCCCGGATTCCGTGATTTTAGCACGGTCGCTTAACTAGTAATAATTGGCCTAATTATCTGATTTATACATATTTGAAACCTATTGTGCATTTTTATCTTTTAACCGCTTTTAATATTTATGAAAATTATTTGAACAAGTCGCGATGTCGCACACTCGTTTGTTTTTGTACACATTGCGAATTGTGCCACGTGAAACGTACCCGCGATTTACAACATGTTCATTTTTATTATTATTCGAAGTTATGATCGGGTCACATGAAATGCACACCCGAATTCGGATTACGTATCATGGCTATGCCACGGGAACCGTACCCATAGTCACGATATTTATTATTAATCGCGCCTAAAGCAAGATACGAATGTATACTAATTCGAGTCATAAACCTTTCTCTTTTTTTTTTTTTATACGTCCAAAGCAAGCTAAGTAAAAATATAGAAAAATAATTTAAAGCTATTTTTTGGATTTTTTAGGAGTAATTTTATATTAGGGCAAAAATTAGGTGCTCACAGCTGCCCTTCTTTGCTCGGAAACATGAAGAGTTTTCGGGCAAAGATAAAGTGAGCAATTACGAGCAATTTTTGCCCGTTTGATACTCCATGGGAAGCATTTTGGAAAAGTTCGACCGAACCTTGCTTCGGAGGTTGCCTACATATCCTTGGCTATAAAGGAATCAGGTCAGTGTAGTTCTGGATGTTTTGGTAGCTGGGACTACCGAGACGCTGTGATTTCACTGCTGCTGCTGCTCTTTCTTGCTGAGCTCCCTATTACACCAAAGTCAAAATGAAAAAGAAACTAACTAAGCCTATCAGCTACGAGTTACAAGATTCCTATCTATGAGTCTTCTGAAGCTTGATCTTGAGTCTTGAATGGTTTTTCATGCGGACTTTTGATTTGAACCTTGATGCTTGCTAGTTGCAGGTGCTAGTTCTTTCTTCTTCAGTTTTTCGGATCAAGACGGGACATGCAAAGCTTGTGACTTCAGCCATGTCTTGAGCAGTTCACATCTTTCATCGGCTTCTACATTTTGGATTCACTTTTTTTTTTCTTTTATTCTGGATTGAGACTTCTTCCTTTGGTCATCTCGGACTGTCAGCTCGCATTCTTGAGGCGAGCTTCTGCTACTTCTAACTTGAATTGAATTCTGAAATGACTTCCCTCGTTCTTCAGGTGGGCGCCTGCAACTGACTTGAAACTTGAAATGGATTCCCACGTTCTCCAGGTGGGCGCCTGCCAATGACTTGAAAATTGAAATAAACTGGAAGTTGACCCTATTCTTCAGGCGAGCACCCTGCTACTTACACTTGAAATAAACTTGAACTTGCGGCAGACTTGAACTTGCAACCTTGTTCTTCAGGCGGCTCGCGCTACTTCTGATTTGAATTGAAAAACTGGAGATTGCCCCTATTCTTCAGGCGGGATCCTGCTGTCTCTGACTTGAACTTGAAAACTAAAAGTTGACCCTGTTCTTCAGGCGGGCTCCTGATGCCTATCTAACTTGAACTTGAAATGAATTCCCTCGTTCTCTAGGTGGGTGCCTGATGACTTAAAACTTGAAATAAATTCCCTCATTCTCCAGGTGGGCGCCTGATGCTGACTTAAAACCTGAAATGAATTCCCTCGTTCTCTAGGTGGGTGCCTGATGACTTAAAACTTGAAATAAATTCCCTCATTCTCCAGGTGGGCGCCTGCTGACTTAAAAACTTGAAATGAATTCCCTCGTTTTCCAGGTGGGCGCCCGATGTTGACTTAACACTTGAAATGAATTCTCTTATTCTCCAGGTGGGCGCCCGATGACTTAAAACTTGAAATAAATTCCCTCGTTCTCCAGGTGGGCGCCTGATGACTTACACTTGAAATGAATTCCCTCATTCTCCAGGTGGGCGCCTGATGCTGACTTAAAACTTGAAATAAATTCCCTCATTCTCCAGGTGGGCACCTGCTGATTTAAAAACTTGAAATGAATTCCCTCGTTTTCTAGGTGGGCGCCTGATGCTGACTTAAAACCTGAAATGAATTACCTCGTTCTCCATGTGGGCGCCTGATGACTTAAAACTTGAAATAAATTCCCTCATTCTCTAGGTGGGCGCCTGCTGACTTAAAAACTTGAAATGAATTCCCTCGTTCTCCAGGTGGGCGCCTGCTCACTTAAAAACTTGAAATGAATTCTCATTCTCCAGGTGGGTGCCTGATATTGACTTAAAACTTGAAATAAATTCCCTCGTTCTCCAGGTGGGTGCCCGATGACTTAAAACTTGAAATAAATTCCCTCGTTCTCCAGGTGGGCGCCTGATGAATAAACTTGAAATAAATTCCCTCGTTCCCCAAGTGGGCGCCTGATGACTTAAAACTTGAAATAAATTCCCTCATTCTCCAGGTTGGCGCCTGCTGACTTAAAAACTTGAAATGAATTCCCTCGTTTTCCAGGTGGGTGCCTGATGTTGACTTAACACTTGAAATGAATTCCCTCATTCTCCAGGTGGGCGCCTGATTACTTACACTTGAAATGAATTCCCTCGTTCTCCAGGTAAGCGCCTGATGTTGACTTAAAACATGAAATAAATTTCCTCATTCTCCAGGTGGGCGCCTGCTGACTTAAAAACTTGAAATGAATTTCCTCGTTTTCCAGGTGGGTGCCTGATGACTTACACTTGAAATAAATTCCCTCATTCTCCAGGTGGGCACCTGCTAACTTAAAAACTTGAAATGAATTCCCTCGTTCTCCAGGTGGGCGCCTGATGATTTACACTTGAAATGAATTCCCTCGTTCTCCAGGTGGGCGCCTGATGTTGACTTAAAACTTGAAATAAATTCCCTCATTCTCCAGGTGGGCGCCTGCTGACTTAAAAACATGAAATGAATTCCCTCGTTTTCTAGGTGGGTGCGTGATGTTGACTTAACACTTGAAATGAATTCTCTCATTCTCCAGATGGGCGCCCGATGACTTAAAACTTGAAATAAATTCCCTCGTTCTTCAGGTGGACGCCTGATGACTTACACTTGAAATGAATTCCCTCATTCTCTAGGTGAGCTCCTGATGCTGACTTAAAACTTGAAATAAATTCCCTCATTCTCCAGGTGGGCACCTGCTGACTTAAAAACTTGAAATGAATTCCCTCGTTTTCCAGGTGGGCGCCTGATGCTGACTTAAAACCTGGAATGACTTCCCTCGTTTTCCAGGTGGGCGCTTGATGACTTAAAACATGAAATAAATTCCCTCATTCTCCAGGTGGGCGCTTGCTGACTTAAAAACTTGAAATGAATTCCCTCGTTTTCCAGGTGGGTGCCTGATGTTGACTTAACACTTGAAATGAATTCTCATTCTCCAGGTGGGCGCCCGATGACTTAAAATTTGAAATAAATTCCCTCGTTCTCCAGGTGGGCGCCTGATGACTTACACTTGAAATGAATTCCCTCATTCTCCAGGTGGGCGCCTGATGACTTAAAACTTGAAATAAATTCCCTCATTATCCAGGTGAGCGCCTGCTTATTTAAAAACTTGAAATGAATTCCCTCGTTTTCCAGGTGGGTGCCTGATGTTGACTTAACACTTGAAATGAATTCCCTCATTCTCCAGGTGGGCGCCTGATGCTGATTTAAAACCTGAAATGAATTCCCTCGTTCTCCAGGTGGGTGCCTGATGACTTACACTTGAAATGAATTCCCTCATTCTCCGGGTGGGCGCCTGATGTTGACTTAAAACTTGAAATAAATTTCATCATTCTCCAGGTGGGCACCCGCTAACTTAAAAACTTAGAAATGAATTCCCTCGTTTTCCAGGTGGGTGGCTGATGTTGACTTAACACTTGAAATGAATTCCCTCATTCTCCAGGTGGGCGTCTGATGCTGAC